AATAGAATTCTCTCTATTTTGTGACCTCAGAACCCGTATGAAAAAGAAGAAATTAAGAATTAATAAATGTAAATATCTGCGATAAAAAAAACCAATTAGTTTCCGCGAATCATTTAACGAGTAAGAATTTAAAATAAATCTTTTCCAACGCTTTGAAGAGTCATTAACATTGGACAAGTCCCCGATTGTTTTCAAAATCTCTCTGACTGAATAACACTTGAGAATTGAGATCGAGAACAATGCGAGCTTAAGTCGCACTTATCTTATACACGAGCCGTCTTTGCGTAGGTGTCCACAAACAGTAAACAAAACACAATTCTAAGTCCACGTGGTAGAGTCAATATTCCTTTGTAACATAAACTAGGATTGGCTATGGAGCTGGAGGCTGCGGATATAATAGCGCATGTAGAACTGTCCGTATGTCCCTTATGAGAGATTTTTACAGACTTTATTGAAGTAATAATCAAAGAAGGAGTCTTCCAGCGACATGGACCTCTTTTAGCTTGGTCCACGGGCCAAGTCACGGGATTAAAATAAAAAAAAATCCTGCAACTGGGTCCACCTTCAATGTTTTTATTTACAAATTAAACACGAAATTATATAGAATTAGAGTGGGCCCAGTTACTGGAAGAAAAAATATTTTAAAATTCAATTCAGCGACTTGGGTCGTGGACCAAGCCAAAAATGGACTGGAAAACTCCAAAGATACAAGCTTTATAATTTAATCCGCCCTTATTCCTTTGAATATAAAAATAATCTATACTTCTGACAAACAATGTAAATTACGAAGCACGTGTAAAATTTTACACGAGGATATTTTCCTTGCGGCGTTCTTGTTTTATTTACCTACATTATGTATCTATCTATCTATGTCAGCCTTTGGGNAGATTTGGCTTTCAGATATTTTTTATCTGCCCATTAAAATTCGCCCCTGTCTGGTATTCATTTTATATTCTACTATAATTTAATCTGCCTTTCGCATCGGGCGGCATTTTATACGGGTTCAATTTGTATGAAGATTTATTTCATCAGATAGCAGTATCTAGCGGATTGAAATTATGTCCACTTTTATTATTGTCTCTGAAAATACAATCATACTCGTAATAGAATGCTATATCTTGTATTTACAGAGATTCCGCTCTGTTAACATTTACAATGGATTCATTTGTATTGTCTACTATTTTAGGAATGAAATTTTGATGCTGAAAAACAACCTTGTTGATAGCAATGCAAATGATGCCAGACATTATTTTATGTTTCTTTTTTTCGATTTAAAAGCGATAGACAAAAAATGACACCTGAAAAAACCTCAGAAGTTCTCATATTTTTTCAAATCCCCGTATCATGTTTCATAACAATTGACCCTTCACAACTTGAACTTCAAATCCCTATTTAACAATCTCCATAATATCCTGGGAACTTCCCCTATCACACCATAACTAATACATCCCGGAGAAAAAGTGCGCCACCCTCTCCCTCACGCAGACCTTGGTTCTGTCTCTTTCTCACAGCATCCGTATCGATTTGCGGGGTAACCTTGAACCCCGTTGTGCGGGTAAACAGACACGTGACCTTGTCATGGTAGATAGCTTATCGTTCATGAGCCCTTGCCTTGCTTAATGAAAGTAGAATGTGTGGCATGCGCTTATAAAAAGGTTGTTAGGCTGAATGAGCAGATGCCTTTGCGCGTTTTTGGGTGACGTTTTTCTTTTTTTTTATTTGGTCGCTTGGGAGGGCGGTAATTTTATTTTAATTAAGGTTCTATAGAATGTTCATAGCTGACACATTACCTTTTTAAAGAGTATGAACAGGTTTTGCTATTTTAGGGCGACTTTTAATACGATGTCTTGTTGAAAGGGTCTCATTATATTGCAAATTACGATACCATTACGGTTCAATATTTTTATAACTTAGGTATTAAACTTCTAAATCTAATACTTAAAAAAACTCGAATTATGGTCTAATGATTATTAACTAAATGAGTAGGTACATACGTTGTCGATTAATTTTGTTAAAGTCGTGGTTCTTAAACATTAAACAGAGTCCATAAGAATAGAATTCTCTCTATTATAAAATATTCTTATGGACTCTGACCTTAGAACCCTCAGAAAAAGATGAAATTAAGGATTAATAAATGTGGATATCTGCGATAAAAAAATCCAATCAGATTCCGCGAATCATTTAACGAGTAAGAATTTAAAATAAATCTTTTCCAACGCTTTGAAGAGTCATTAACATTGGACAAGTCCCCGGTTGTTTTCAAAATCTCTAACTGAATAACACTTGAGATTGAGATCGAGAACAATCGGAGCTTAAGTCGCACTTATCTTATACACGAGGCGCCATTGCGTAGGTGTCCACAAACAGTAAACAAAACACAATTCTAAGTCCACGTGGTAGAGTCAATATTCCTTTGTAACATAAACTAGGATTGGCTATGGAGCTGGAGGCTGCGGATATAATAGCGCATGAAGAACTGCCGTATGTCCCTCATGAGGGATATTTTACAGTTTTTATTGAAGGAATATTCAAAGAAGGAGTCTTCCAGAGACATGTACCTCTTTTAGCCTGGTCCACAGGCCAAGTCGCTGGATTGGAATTTAAAAAAATCTTCCAACAACTGGGCCCTTCAACCTTCAATGCATACATTTAATATGGAAGCCGGAAACATTGAACTTTCGGATAGATCCAGTTTATTCTTTAACCTATCATTGGTACCGTTTGATAGAGCTCATGAAGCACTTTTCAGGATCGGTCTATCTATCTAGTTTTTTGATATCTTGTATAGTTTAGAAATAGTCGAGTGAGATCACTTATCGTCCACCCTGTATAGAATTAGAGTGGGCCCAGTTACTGGAAGAAAAAATATTTAAAAATTAAATCCAGCGACTTGGCCCGTGGACGAATCTAAAAGTGGGCTGGAAAACTCCAAAGAAACAAGCTTTATAATTTAATCCGCCCTTATTCCTTTGAAAATAAAAATAATCTATACTTCTGTTCTGAGAAACAATGTAAATTACGAAGCACGTGTAAAATTTTACACGAGGATATTTTCCTTGCGGCTTTCTTGTCTTATTTAGCTACTTATTTGTTGCTAAATAACATCTATTACATCGTCTTAAGATGCCATAGTGTACAGCTTGATCTGCCGCCGTCTGTAAAACTGTAAACCAATAGTTTTTAGATAGAAAACTAAACCAATTTTACTTTTCAGACACGAATTTAGAATTACGATTTAATTAGAGATTGGCCTGTATTACAGCCTGTATTATGAAACGGCATTCAAATATGAATCTACTCTCAAGTATGCATTAAATATGAAACTGCCATCGACCACAAACTTTAATCTATGTAAGTTAGTCTTGAGCATCAACTCTAAATTCGGGTTTCAAACTTGTTGAGCTTCCGAAAAGCCTTCAGATTCGCAGCAAGCTAAATTACGATAGCGTAATATGATTAGTAGTGCGGAGTTAATTCATTAGCCAACTACCGTTAGGCATAGTAAAGGTGAATTAGTTTCAGTAAGTAGGTTTAGTATCGCATTCTGGGCTCGCGACTGTGCGACGGGCGCCCGCAGTGAGTGTGCGAGCGCGATAGCACCATAATTACGCGCGAGCGATAAGGATGGGTAGCTTGGGGTCATTGGACAAAATTATACGTGCTCACGGACCAGGCTTTACCGTTGCACAGTCACGAAACATTTTTTTACAATAAGCGCCAGCTAGCCCCATTATCTAATATAATAAAAATAGTCGTCTTAAAGTCACTTTGGGAATCCTTATGCTTTTGTTACTTTTTATTTAACCACAAAGAGGAAGCTCTTGGCCTGTATCTCACCTGATGGTAAGTGATGATCAGGTTGAAGGTGGAAGCGAGCTTCACTCGGAATCCTCAACCACAGAGGAACTGGCTATCTTATCTCTTAACTGCCGGAACACAACAATGCTGTTAACTGATAACTACTGTGTTCGTACTGGCCTATTGTGTCTCTGTCAATAATCTAAAGTTTCTGCCCAACTCAAGAGTTAGTATGTTATACGAGAAAGCTGTATCTTACGTTCAAGAAAATAAATCAGTTTATACAATTTACTCAACGTGGTTCGTGGAAAGCGCATACGTTCTTTCCCTGTTCAACACAACACAACGATCCCCTTTTGCAAAATTAAATCAATACCACGTTCCACGAATTTACGTGAATTCGTGAATTCACGAACGTACAAAGATAACGAACGAATTTATGTTCGCATTGTATGATCATGGATTAGTATGCATCTGTTTTCGCTGAGTAATTGCGATGTGACTTTCTGGCTGAATGTAGTATACTGTGCACTAGCGATCAGTAGCGATCTACATTAGTCACTGGTCTAGGTGGAATTTAATATTAACAGCGCGTCAAGTGAGCATACCTATATACGTGGAAGATACAATTATGGATGTCTTGCTAGATAGATTGATATGTTAGGATTTAGAAGCTTTCATGCTATGAACTTCGTTTCAGAAATTTAGGGTCATCTTGACACAGGGATATTCGCCAAAACAGGCTTTAAGGGCCAGTTTCATAGGTTCCTAATTTAGTTTCTGACATAAGTATAACGCTATCTAAGAAATTACGATGACTTCTTCCAGATATCTCTTTTCGAGACCGTTTTTATTAGGCGTACAAGTTTCTATGGGCTATTTGGCGGTGGGGAAAAAGGCCTTCATTTTATCAGTGAATCCTCAAAAAATACAACAGCATACAGGGTTTGCTGATGTTAAAGACAATTTAAGCAACACCTGTAATACCAGATTTTCAGTATGTTCATCTTCTTAGGATATAATAAAAACGAGGTGACCGACCATCTTTTGTAGCTTTCTTGAATTCTTTTCAACAGGTTTCCCTATATCTACGTTCATGTAGCAACACTTTCATGGTTCTCCATACGAGTACTCCTGCTCTTTAACTCTTTATCTACCCTACCTAAGTGACCCTTATTAACCATGTGTTTTCATGTTTCCAGGCGCGGTGGGCGGATGTCGGGCGGCGGCGCCGGGCTCATGTCGTGCGTGCGCGAGGGCTCCCTGGAGCCGCCCTACCGACCGCCGCACAGCGAGCCGCACAACCATGGTACGTGGACACTTTAGTACTGTTTCAAGCAATAGAAAAAAATAATTCCAATAATGAGCAAAAACACCTAACGTCTGCGCTGCCTATATCCAGGGCTTGCTAGGACGTAAAAACTTGCCTTGTTTTTCCCCTGGTGTCAGCTATGACAAGGCAAGCCTTCTAGCCTATGATTTCTAGAGAGCAGAACTAATTCGAAGAGCAGAGACCATACATTTTCCGGCCTTATGATGATCATTCGTGGGAAGGCGAGACATGTTATGACCACAATTCAGAGCATCTGAAGACTGTAGTCTCAGGCTGGCTTTGAAGTGGCGGAATAAATAAAAGAAAAGTGAAAGAGAGAGAAGACAGTTCAGGATTTGATAAAATGACTGAGATCTGATCTGAATCGAGTTTTGAGCGTTGCTTTGTAATATGAAATTACGGACTAGAATGCAGTAATTCTGAATTAGGGTTTGTTAATAATTGAAGTACGTAGGCCTCTTTTAGGCACTTAATGCTTTAGTTGACTCTCTAGCTAAGTACTACCTCACCATATTTTTCGAATAGATGTAAAAAGTAACAGGCAAACATCAATTTGTTTGCGCAAACTATCGCACTTTTAAGGGTCTTACTGCTATACTACCTTATAATATTCCACAGGTGGGGGCCTGGTGACCTGTAGAACAGGTTTTAAACAAAACCTATTTCAGGCACCAGTCCCACACAAACTTAGTATTAAGTACCTATAGCATAATGTATTTTTACCAAATGTAATTGCTAACCTAAGTTTGTGAGGGGAAATAAATGATTTATTTATTTATTATTAATATATTGATAGAATTAATTTGCTATAGATTTTGATTCGCCCCTTGCTATCATTTCAGGCGAAGGGCGCACAGGCAGGTTCCTGCGCGGGCTGCGGCGCATGTTCAAGCGGCGCGGAAGCGGCGCGCGCGCGGCCTCGCCCGACCCCAAGAGCAGCTCCACCAGCGAGCTGCTGGACGCAGACCGCCATGCGAGGAGAAAGTGAGTATTCTATAGTCTGGTCCGTGAGCACGTAGAATTTTGTCCAATGACCCCAAGATACCCATCCTTATCGCTCGCGCGTAATTATGTTGCTGTCGCGCTCGCACACTCACTGCGGGCGCCCGTCGCACAGTCGCGACAGCAATATAATTACGCGCGACCGATAAGGATGAGTAGCTTGGGGTCATTGGACAAAATTCTACGTGCTCACGGACCAGGCTTTAGCAGAGGCTTAGTAAGACCACCTGTCTCAGCGAACCTGAGCTCCACCAGGAAAGTAGAATGCCAAGCGAGGAGGAAGTAAGAGTATAGGGCTATCTGACTCAGGGTTGCAAATTCATTCCCAGGCAGACTCAGCGCCCAACTAGCTCTATCTTATCAAGACTTCTATGGTCGCCGCTGTGAGCAATCAATTCAGACCTGACCGTCACTGAGATCTAGTGCTAAGACCACCTGTCTCAGACAGTGTCTCTAGTTCCTGCGCGGGCTATGGCGCTTGTTCAAGCGGCGCGCGCGCAGCTTCGCCCGACCCCAAGAGCAGCTCCACCAGCGAGCTGCTGGACGCAGACCGCCATGCGAGAAGAAAGTAAGTTCATGGGACTCATTCCAGGGTCACTGCCTCTCGTCTCGTAAGACCACCGGTATAAGACACAGAGGCCCCAAGCTCAAGCGTCGGAGGAGTACGGTAGCGGCGCGCACCCAGGCTCGCCCGACCACAAGAGCAGCTCTACCAGCGAGCTGCTGGACGCAGACCGCCATACCAGGAGAAAGTAAGTTCATGGGACTCATTCCAGGGTCACTGCCTCTTATCTCGTAAGACCACCGGTATAAGACACAGGGGCCCCAAGCTCAAGCGTCGGTGGAGTATGGTAGCGGCTCGCGCGCAGCCTCGCCCGACCACAAGAGCAGCTCTACCAGTGAGTTGTTGGATGCAGACCGCCATGCCAGGAGAAAGTGAGTATTCTAGCAGAGGCATAGCAAGACCACCTGTCTCAGCGAACCTGAGCTCCACCAGGAAAGTAGAATGCCAACCGCCATGTGAGGAGGAAGTAAGATGATAGGGCTATCTGACTCAGAGTACAAATTCACTCCCAGGCGGACTCAGCGCCTAATAACTAGCTCTATCTTGTCAACCGTTCTATGGTCGCCGCTGTGATCTAGTGTCTGAGTGAACCTGGCTATCAGTTCAGACCTAACCGTCACTGAGGTTGGACGCAGACCGCCATGCCAGGAGAAAGCAAGTTGATAGGGCGGGCATCTTCGACCACATTAGACACAGAGCTCCCTTCACAATTTTGCTCCATTTGGTTTTGGTCCGCCTGGCTAGCTTCATCATCACCATCTTATTTAACCTTCTATGGTCGCTGCTGTGTAGTCTAGTGTCCCTTGTTCATGAATGAAGCTTCTTTTGAGTCAATGGTAAGACCGCCATCCATCAGGTCGAGGTCTCAGGTTCCTGCGAGGGCTGCGGCGCATGTTTCAGACACAGGGTTCTATGCCCAGGGCAGGTTTTGAGACCGCCTGGCTAGCTCTATCACGACCAGATCTTATTAAACCTTCTATGGTCGTGCTGTAGTAAACTGTCTCTTGGTCAGACACATGAATGAAGCTGGCTCCTTCTAACCGTCATCACTGAGGTCTAGTAGTAAGACCACCTGTATTAGATTAAAAAGTCTCGGGTTTCTGTGCGATAGCGCAGCCTCGCCCTACCCCAAGAGCAGCTCCTTCAGCGAGTTACTTGACGCAGACCGCCATGCGAGGAGAAAGTGAGTTGACAGGGCTTCTTCATCAAACACTTGTTTCAGACACAGGGTTCCATGCCCAAGGCAGGTTTTGAGACCGTCTGGCTAGCTTCACCACCCCCATCTTATTTAACCTTCTACGGTCGTGCTGTAGTGAACTGTCTCTTGCTAAGACACATGAATGAAGCTGGCTCCTTGTATTTCCTAACCGTCACTGTGGTCTAGTAGTAACACTACCCTTTATATATTTAAAAGTCTCGGGTTTCTGTGTGACAGCAGCGCGCGCATCCTCGCCCGATCCCAAGAGCAGCTCCACCAGCGAGCTGTTGGACGCAGACCGCCATGCCAGGAGAAAGTGAGTGACAGGACTCATTCTAAGGTCACTGCTGTGGTTTCGTAAGACCACCGGTATAAGACACAGAGACCCCAAGCTCAAGCGTCGGAGGAGTACGGTAGCGGCGCGCACCCAGGCTCGCCCGACTCCAAGAGCAGCTCCACCAGCGAGCTGTTGGACGCAGACCGCCATGCCAGGAGAAAGTGAGTGACAGGACTCATTCTAAGGTCACTGCTGTGGTTTCGTAAGACCACCGGTATAAGACACAGAGACCCCAAGCTCAAGAGTCGGAGGAGTACGGTAGCGGCGCGCGCCCAGGCTCGCCCGACCCCAAGAGCAGCTCCACCAGCGAGCTGTTGGACGCAGACCGCCATGCCAGGAGAAAGTGAGTTCATAAGACTTCTTCAGAAATACAAGACCACCTGTCTTAGACACGTGAGCCTGGCTCCTGCTATGAGGCCTAGCCGTCACTGTGGTCTAGTAGTAACACTACCCTTTTTAGAATCAAAAGTCTCGGGTTTCTGTGCGACAGCAGCGCGCGCAGCCTCGCCCGACCCCAAGAGCAGCTCCACCAGCGAGCTACTCGACGCAGACTGCTATGCCAGGAGGAAGTGAGTATTCTAGCAGAGGCCTAGCAAGACCACGTCTGTCTCAGACATGTGAACCTGGCTCCCTTCATCAGAACTAACTGCCACTGCGTCTAGTAGTAAGACCCACCTGTCCTAGATACGAGTAATCCTGAGCTCCATCAAGAAGCCATGCGAGGAGAAAGTGAGTCATAGGACTTCTTCTAGACAGAGATCCAGAATTCCTGCAGCTTGCCCGACCCTAATAGCAGCAAAAAGCTAACCACAGACCGTCATGCCAGGAGAAAGTGAGTTTATGGGTCTCCTTCTGTCAGACTGTCTCTGTGGTCTAGGTCTCAGACACAGACGGCCTCAGACTCGCCCGACCCCAAGAGCAGCTCCACTAGCGAGCTGTTGGACGCAGACCGCCATGCCAGGAGAAAGTAAGTTGATAGGGCGGGCTTCTTCGACCACATCAGACACAGAGCTCCCTTCACAGCAGGAAAATTTTGCTCCGTTTGGTTTTGGTCCGCCTGGTTAGCTTCATCATCATCACCATCTTACTTAACCGTCTATGGTCGCTGTTTCTTGTTCATGAATGAAGCGTCTTTGAGTCAATGGTAAGACCGCCATCCATCATCTTAGACTCAGAGGTCTCAGGTCTGCGCGGACTGCGGAGCGGCGGACTCAGCTCTATCTTATCTAACCTGCTGAGCTGAGCGAGCTGCTGAATGATGAACACCATGTCTCGGTCATAAAATTCCATTCCCAGAGGTGGCGAATATTATACTGTTTTGGTTGGTAAGCTTGTTCTGAGAACTCCTTTTAAATCTTACATCGTGTCAAAATTTAATAAACATAAATCAATAATCATAATGAAGAGCAATTCAATCACGATCTATTAATAAACTGCACCAGCCGAAGCAGATGTTCGACAGCTATTATTAAGATACTGCTTATTGCCCCAATCAGCCTTATTCTCGTGAATCATCATGAGTGCGCAGCCGATGGGTTTGAGTGCTCTGGAGTGGCTGAATTTGCATTCGCTGACTCACCGTTTAATTTATCGACTCTATATTCTAATTGAGAAACTAATAGATTGAGTATTAATCACAGTCAGCTTATTAGTAAATCTTTGGTATATGAGCTTTTAAAGACTTGAATATTTAAGTGTACCTACGAATTAATGTTGCACTCTCATGCATTGCCATCAGGTTAAGGATTTTTAGTTACATAATGTTTACGAGCATACATACATACGAGTATAACCATGTCTTTTGACATTTTTGTAGCTTTAATTTATATCACAGTGCATAATCAGTTCAAACAGGCTTACCTACTTGAACGTGTTGTATAGAAGGTGTAAAAGATTCACCTGCGTTTTTCATCGAGCCGCTGCCAACTATACAACTTTTTTGCTGCTGGATAAAGGCCTCCCTGAGGATTTCTTTTTCAACACACGGTCCTGCGCTGCTCCCATCTCGGAGATGTTTCCCGCAATCTTTACCAGATCATCGGTTCTTAGAGTGGGAGGTCCGCCTTTACTTCTCCGTTCCGTAGTCACCACTCGAGAACTTATTGTCCCAACGGCCATTAGCTGTGGCCCACAGCTCGTGGAACTGATGGACCACTGCATTGTATAATATTATTAATGTTACTTTTTTATTTCAGAGAGGGAGTGTACGGCAGCGGGCTGTCGGTATCGCACGACTCGGTGTTCACGGGCGAGCGCTCGGGCGACGAGTCGAGCGACGAGCGGCCGACGCCGGCGCACGGGCTCGGCCACGTCGCCACTTCACACCGGGTGAGTTCCCCTGGCCTATCTGGAAGTCTTTAAATAGACTTCGGACGCAGGTCGGCCATAATTATGTTCAGGTGGGGATTCATATATGGCTCAAACTTGGAGTGCAGGTGTGGTTTTGTTCCCCAGTCGATGAAGCACATGATGTCGTGCCCTGCGTGCCCAAACAACTGCACGCAGGAAGAATTAATGAAGGCTACTGACAACGCTATTCTTGTGGTGGAGTTTTGGGCCGACGCTGTTTAGGTTTGTTGTCGACACGACAAGAAGAAGAAGATCGGGTGACTCATCATCATCTTTTTAGCCATAGAACGCCCACTACTGAACATAGGCTTCCCCAATGATTTCCATGTTGACCGGTTGGTAGTGACCTGCGTCCAGCGCCTACTTGCTACCTTTATGAGGTCGGGTGAGTACAATCTGTAAACTCTGATGAGAAGAGTGATAGAAACATCAAACAGCACAAGATTGCATTTTGTACTATACAACGAAGGGCATAGCATCCATGGATTGCGTTTTCCACTGCGACGCATAAAGCGACAATAGCCCAACATCTAAATACCGAATCGAGATTCTATGAACGCTAGTTTGATCACTTTGATCGCCATCGACACGACTTCAAGATGAACCCATGATGAACCCACTCCTAACACACTGCTTTACTGTAGCATATCTAGTAGTTTGTTTACGAAGCATGGCAAAAGACTCGACAGATTAAATTACGATTGATGATAATATTAGGATTTTTAACAACAACTTGAATAGCCTAAGCAATTTTATGGTGTCGTAAAAGGAGAAGCTCTGGTTCTACCACCTCTACTATGAAATTATGTTACGCCACTAAAGCAATCGCTATGAAATTTGGCAGAATAATTGTCTATAAAATGTCGTTTTAGTACACAGTCGCAAAAAATGTCTTATTAAATTATAGTTTATAGGAAATTAAGCAAATAAAGTGGCGCGGCCGGGACGTATGCTTTGTCGCCACGCCAATCGTGCCGTGAGCATTTAAAACCCTTTAAAACTAGGTAAGATACGGCGATTTGAGCTTGTTGTAAACTTAGTTTTGTTATTACACAGTTGGGACACTTCGAAGGCCTTGAAGACGTAACTAAAGTTGTAAACAAAAGTTCTTGAAAGTATTTATAGTTTCCCAAGTTGCGAAGACGGCACCGCCATCTAGCGCTACGCAGTGATACTACTACGTTAAATCTATAACGCCATCTACAATTTCGTACGTGAACTTCTGCTTTAACGTCGTTGTGTTTATAGATGACCCACGCTGAACTGTCCCGCCAAACTCAATGACAGGGGGGCGCTACCATCGTTCAACTATATGGTTTCCAACATGGCAAAAATCTGAACCAGCGATCCGGTATTGACGGTGGCGCCCCACTGTCAATGTCATCGACAGGACAGTCCAGTATTTTGGAACTATACGTTTAGTGAGACTGGTTCAAAGGGGTTAATAAATATGAAAACAGTTTTGTTCACCCGAGAGAACTTCATAGTTGGCCTGTTCACATTATCATTATAAACTAAAACCTACATTATTTATGTAATTATGATGTATATTCTAAAGTTTCATTAAAATCAGTTCAGTGCTTTTCCATAAATATCAACAACAAAAATATTTTGTAGTTTTAGAAATCCCCAAGAGGGGACGTGCTGAAACATAGGTAGAATATTGATCAAGTTTTTAAGCTAATAAAACTGCGGGCATCAGTTAGTTCAAAATAAAAATACCTACAATACTATAGTTTTATACAAGTGATTCACCCAATCAAGACTTAATTAACACTTGAAACCGTCTGAATGGCACAAAAGGATCTTGCGACTAAAATTGGACTTCCTTTTCAAGCAAGGATATGTTTAATATAAAGCCATGATAAAATCATTAAATATAGCTCTATAATAAATAGACAAAAGCTGTATAAATTAATTAACGCAGAACGTTAAGAACTGAATTAATATTTTTTTATTTCTGTTAAGCAACAGAGCAACAGATTGTACAGGTTTGTCTAATGACGGCCTAAGTAAAATTGTAAAGGTCGCTGATGTGCGACCGAACTCCTTGGCCGCGCGCCTGGCCGGCGAGAAACTTCTTTTTATTTTTCGTGTTCTTTTTCGATTGTCACTTTTTTCTCTTCTCTCTTGACTTTTCTACTCTGAACTAAAAGCAATGTAACTTGATTTTATTTTACAATATAATTTTATTTTACACCACAAAGCCTTTCAATCAATTAATCTCTCGTAGTGTCGGTGACGTATTTCGTTCACAAATATACTTTATTGTCATGCCATATTTGAAAAACCAGTTAATTTATTTCTTGGATGACTGTAGCGCCATGGCTTTTGAAATAAAATTGGCTGAGGGAATACATTTGATTCAGGCCATGAAGCCTGAATTTAAGTAGTTGTTGATGGTGTTTTTTTTGTTTTTAAAAGATATTAGCAATTTGTAAACACAAATTTACTAATAATCCCGTTAACCCCTCGTGCTACGTTAAATATGCTTGTGGAGTTGTGGAGTGGGTACCTTTATCAACCTTCATCGTTCCATACCGTATTTTATTTGTTATTTACTTAATATTCATTTGAAATTCCTGATGTCAATTGATGTGTACTTACTTACTTGGTTTAAGAAATTCTCTCGTAAATACTCGAATGACTTGCAAAAATCAAAACTCGTATATTCAAGTAATTTTGAATATTCAATGGTATGAATCTTTTTGTACTCGTGCTCTCTACAAAGAAGATGACTTATACTTTTGGAGCTTTCTCTCTGGAGTGTTTGTATGAAAATCAAGATTTTTAATACCTAATTTTTCTTTACAAATGCGAATTCTTTGATTAAAGAAAGAAAGAAAGAAAGAAAGAAAGAAAGAAAGAAACATTTATTGCCATGGACATCACAGAAGACAAAAGATGTAAATAATAGAAAAAAAAAGTAAATAAGACATAGGTGACATAAAATAAAACATACAATGAAAGTGAAAGTAAAACTGAGCAGTGCCACCCTGTCGCACAGCGATGTCCATCGCAATGGGACCCCACTCAGCATATGCCATGGCCCCCGGTGAGGGAGGCCACGACGCTGGTTTTCAGTGTGCCCCATGCCGAGTGGGAGTCACGGATACTAACCTATACTGCATAAAATATACATACATAAATAATAATAATAGTGCGCGTATAAATTTTAAGTGTAAGTACAGTATAATATTATTATAAAGAAAAGATGTAATAAGATATTATAAATAAAACGATAATATTTGAAAAACAAAACTGTGTGGGTGTACATAATAAATAAATTGTAATGTAATAAAGTGTTTGTGTATACAGTGATTGTGTGTGTCTCGACGACCACAAAACCGTCACGTGCGATCGAACCATTTTGCGTGGTTGTGTCTATTCATAGCGTCAGGTAGGTGAATCAGATTGGCCCATAATCCTGAGCGCGTTAGTCGCATCGCTTACCCACAATACAGAAAAAAAAAATTAAGGAGACACATAACCGATTCAATTCTGCAAATAATTGATTCTCAGGGTTTTAACAAACAAAGGCATATTCTGCCTTATAGAACCATCCCCACTCTTCCAGTGGATATCGTAAAATTAACTATGGAATAAAGCCAGCCTGTAGACCAAATCCTCCATTTGCTTCTGGTTAGTACATGGTGTCTTGGCCTAGGTGCAGACCACCGACTTTTAGTTGACCGATAGTTGAGCCCGATTCTATTTTGTATGAAGAATCGGCCGATACCAAATCGGTGTAATGTGCCCACTGGAGGTGCCCATACTGATTAACTGCCCTACTAAACTATCGGCCCATAAAAAGTCTGTGGTCTGCGCCTAGGCTTACTGCAGAAGACTACATGACTTGATGATGATGATGAATATACCGCAGAAGGTCTTGACATCCACGATCAATTTTATTGGAGCTCTTTCTTTGTACTTTTAATGTTGTTTAAAATTGCCAACCTTTTCGTAATAGTGGCATTTCAAAAGTTTTTCTATCCATCTTCTTTGTATTTTCTTAATAGTTTTGACTCTATATCTCTGTATTTTTGTTTATTTATTTCTAAACGTCATTAAAAATCTTTGATAGCCGTTTTTGCTTAACACCTTAACAAACAACCGCTTATTCTTCATGAGCCGATCTGAATACATAATTAATTAATCTTGTCGCATCATATTAGCAATCAATTAATTTATTACTTTAGAGCAGTGTTTCTTAACCTGTAGTTTGCTGTCTCTACTACTAATTTTGATGTATTTTGGAAATAGATTGTATTTGGGAAAATAAACTATCACATAGGCTATGAAGAAGGGAAAAATGGGAGTTAAATTCCCCAAAGAAGGTTCTCATAGTCAGTGATATGAAAACTCAACATTTTCTTATGTTTTTGGCAAGAAATACAGTTTGATTGCGGTATTTTTGCTAAAGTATTTTTTCTTGCTAAGGTATTTTTTCTGTGATACGATCCTTGAAGCATCGGACAGGGTCAAGTAATTATAAATATTAAAAGTTAGCATTAACCAGCATCAGCTATATTTGGGATGTGTAATAAGCACCTTGGAAAGGGCCTGAGTACTGAATAAAAGCTTTGCTTTGACTAATTTGCCAATCCGCGAAATTCGCAGTCATCTCACTTACCATAAACCTAAATCCAAACATAATTACTTGAATTATGCTCCACTTTCGCATTCCATTTTCACTGCCAATCATTTTCAGGCATGCACATGCCAGGGAAGCGTTGTAATGGCCACCGCAAAAACTTTAGTCTCAAACGTGTAGCGAAATTCGATAGCGCGGTGCGCGTGCGCCGCTGAACCACCGTTGCCCATTCCGGTTCTGCTCTCGTGGTCACAGTGTGAGCTAACGCATGGTGATGCAGTAGGCTTGATGGGTAAGATGCCTGCTTGTTAATTATCGTTGGAAGGTTACTTATAAGTAATGTAAGGAATCGAGGACCGTAGCAGAACGTGCAGAATACAATAAGTCGTGTTAATACTTTATTTGCTCATGGGGTATTAATTTTGTATGAGAGAAAGAGATAAAAGCTTCCCAC